GGTAAAGTAATTATACAGACACAGGTAGTAGTGCCAAGTAACATATAGTGGTGGTAAAGTAATCATACAGACACAGGTAGTGGTGGTAAAGTAATCATACAGACACAGGTAGTAGTGCCAAGTAACATATAGTGGTGGTAAAGTAATCATACAGACATGGGTATTAGTGCCAAGTAACATATAGCGGTGGTAAAGTAATCATACAGACACAGGTAGTAGTGCCAAGTAACATATAGTGTGGTAAAGTAATCATACAGACAGGAGTATTAGTGCCAAGTAACATATAGTGGTGGTAAAGTAATCATACAGACACAGGTAGTAGTGCCAAGTAACATATAGTGGTGGTAAAGTAATCATATAGACACATTTGTATCTTCCAAGTTGACAGCCCTGTATTCTCAACTTGCGTGGCTCTCCATTTATTAAGAATGAAACAATACTAAATTTCCGTATTACGCTAGTTTTGAATCCTTTATTTCATGATACAATGATTAATCACAGTAGTAGCACAATAATTTTTAAATTTTTAACTGAATGAATAGAAGTTTTGTGTGTGTTTATTTTTTGGTTTTCTTCTTCTCAATTTTATATGACCTTAAACATAAGGAAGTTAGAGAGTTCAAATGTAGCAAGGCATCAAAGATAAATTATAGCAAGGTGTCAGATAGGAAATGAAAATAAAGACAGATAATCACATCTTGTAAAGAAAGGAAAATGAAAATCCCTAGACTAGTGTATATACGATACCGTTATTGAAGCTACCTTGATTGTTTATTATTGTGGCTTAGATTCACAGATTGAAATCCACTGGGTGGTAAACTAGCAGGTGTCACATCATATTTTAAGCTGTTCCTCCTTTGGTTGTCATGGTATTGACACACAGTCTGTAAATCGGGCAGCCAGTTTCTGTGATATTTCCTTTTTTATGTCTTTTTTTGGGGGAGGGACAAAATTAGAGTTGGACCGTTAGTAGAATTTGCTAATCAATTAATCGTTGGGCTCGTTAATGGATTACGTTTAAATAGTCAAGTATCCTGACGTGAGATGTTCAAAACAAACGTAACGCTGGAAATCTGGTTGTGAGCAGAGTTCAAGACAGCCCGTTGTGTAGTTTTGTGCTTAACAGCACTCAAGTATAATGACAATATTTAGTTTACTTGTAATGCTGAAATAATTAGGAATCCCAATTTTGATAATTTTTGTCATTCACGGCACTAATCGATTACCCTCAACAAATAAGGAAAAATCATAAAGGCAATATTTTCGTTATTGGATAGTTGGAGCAATTGAAAACGGTAATAATACTAGTTTGTTTTTTCGTGACATTGATCGATTTAATCGTAATTTCGATTACTGGATATTATAATAATAATAAAAAGTAATAACCGGAAACAATAGTTGATTATTTTGTGTGATTAATCGAAATAATTCCTCAGCTCTAACAAAAATTCAGCCAAACCGTTGATGTTTATCCTCTTATTTTGAGAAAAGAGCTTCTCCTGTTCTTCATCAACCATGTTGAGTCATGTGACTACCATTTTCTTGGAATATTGGATACTTTAAAAATGTCCCCCATAGTATTATCGCGAATATTCGTAATATCTCTATATCATACTATCGAAAAATCGTTTCATCCCTCTCCCCACAGAAATCTCGCAGGAGTGTTTTTAAACCAATAGAACAAACAAAGTAAAACAAAAACAAATAACTGCTTGTCCGATGGACGAACTACCCTCCGCCACGGAGATAACAAGTGAGCCTCATAAATTACACTTCAAAGCTTCTTCGAGAAGTTAAATTATAGTTTTTTCACCCCTTTGTGTGTTTATGAGCAGAATTTCTCGAAAATGTCTGAATGGATTTGGACGAAAGTTAGTATACATTTGGATTATGACCTAACTTAGAAGTGATTAGTTTCTGGAGGGCCAAAGTCACGAAAATAAAAAAATATCCATATCTCTTAACATGGGGACAGATTTTTCACACTATTTTTACTCTATAACCCAGTCAAAAATGATCGAATTTGGACATGTGTAGAATATTATTCCCCACTGTTCTCCCTAAAATGGACCGTGTCCATTGTTAACGGCGGACATACGGACACATTTTTGTATTTTTTAGAGGAAATATGATCAACGCTGCGTGGCAGAGATATGCGCCCTACTAAGGGCCCCTCTAGTTCTACAATGCATCAATAAAGAAACAACACTTCATCTATTCTTAACACATGTTCAATTTATAAAATTTCACAGAAATCTAATCTTTCTCAATATCCCCCACACCCACTGGATTTTTCAGTGGAACAGTCGTTGGTAACAGATCCACAAAGTCTCCAGCGTCGTAGTCGCAGCTTCTAAGATGGTAATTTTTTGAGATACTAGGTAGAAATCAAGTAACCTACAAATGACCTTTTTTTCACGTTCCTATTAAATTGTCCATTTTGGGGCTCATCCCAACTAACAAGTTTTGGTATTGAGCAAAAGGCTTCTTGGGCGGTGATTGTGGACAAAAGCTAGATGGTAACTTTGTCATATTGGTTATCAACACATGTTGGGTTAATATGATTCGAGTCTAATAGTAGGGCTCCCACTGAACCTATAAACCCTATTGAAGCCTATATTTTGAAAGTGGCCCTAATTGTGAAAATGACCTATAAAACTACAATTTTTCTACCAAGATTAACCACACGTGTCGCATAAACATATGTTGCAAAAAGGACTTTGAGAAAATGAGTTTTTGATTGTAGCAATAAACAATAGCTATTACACAAGTCTGATAAATTGATAAGTACTTTTTAAAAAAATATAAGAAACATATTTTATTATTTAACAGTTTTAGTGTAGTTTAGAGGATGGGACAGCCTAGATGGACCAAAATGTCACTTGTTATCCCTAAACATTATGTTATTATATGAGTGTTTTAGACTGAAAAACTGGTTGTTCGACAAAGTAAATTAGTCAGAAAACCTATAAAACCCATGTTTGTTTTGGGCTGTAACTTTATAAAACCTATATTTTCATATTACAGCCTATTCCCCTCCCCCTTAAAAATGGATTTAGAGGCTTGTAATAGCCTTAAAGATTACATCCCTGGTTCGCGGAAATTTTATGAAGACTTCTAGCGACGTGTCAAACCTCTTAATATATTATTACCGTTTGTTTTGGTGTGTTTTTTTTTTACCCTAGTGCAGCTACTTTCTAAAATGATGTTATCTTCACCTAAATTTTATTCCAGCGATTTACGAGAAACACCTAGTTCCACCTGAGGCACACGTGGGTGTTTACTTTATTCAACCTGTTTCTACTTTCCTCCCTCTCCTCTATTACGACCAGCGAACTACACTGTAAAACGTAGTACATCTTTCAGCAGTATCACGGATTTAATACAAATAATGATTAGATGTTGATACATGTCTTGAAATGGAACGTCATTTTTATTAATAATAATGGTTTCGTATAAAACATTACATTGTAATAGGGATTTCATATGAAGTATTAAAACACCATAATACGGGTTTTAGTATAAAAGCATTTATAATGCTTGTGACACTGGGTTTTGTTTTTTGTGTATCTAATTTAAAATAATATGCGAAGTCTACTCCATATTGAAAACCCTACAACTAATTGTTCTATATGCTTTGTTAGCCGGCCTCCTTCGCATTGGAAAGCTCTAGTAACCGGAAATGTCAATATCTCCTAATACAAGTGACTTTTATATGAAGCATGCTGTAAACAATTGCTCTCTGAATCCCCTTTTAGCAATTAGATGAATGTGCCTTCCATTAGTGTTTAAGTGACTACATTAATATTTGACTAGTATTTAAATGACTACATTAATATTTAAGTGACTTTAGTTTTTAAGTGACTACATTGATATTCAAGTGACTATATAGAGTTTTAAGTGATTACATTAATATTTGATTATATAGAGTTCAAGTGACTATATAGAGTTCAAGTGACTATATAGAGTTTAAGTGACTATTTAGTGTTTAAGTGGCAACATTAACATTTAAGTGACTATTTAGTGTTTAAGTGACTACATTAATATTTAAGTGGCTATTTAGTGTTTAAGGAACTACAATAATGTTTGACCAGTATTTAAGTGACTACATTAATACTTAAGTGACTAGTGTTTTATGGAACTACATTAATAATTGACCAGTATTTAAGTGAGTTTTTGTGATCAGCAAAACCTGAACTTTAAACTGACAAACTTTCACGGTAAAATTTAATTAATGAGTACATTAAAATGTATTGTTATTACTGTACTTAATAAATGTTTTTATATAGTTTAAGGTTTTTTACAACATTTATTATTGTTTAAAACTGTAATTGGTATAGATGATATAGGAATACTGTGTTTTAGAACAGTAACAAGGTATCAAAACAGTTCCTGTAAAATATCTTAAGGGAATCACATTCGTATCCGGCATTGTCCAGGTCGACAGATGCTGTATGATAAAGTTTTTACTGTACTTAAACACCAAACTATCCTTTCTATTACATCAACGTTGCATACCAAGTAAAAACTTGCATCGAATGTATACTGTTGCCGTCATCGAGATCACATGACTACAGTGACGCCACGTTTCTAGAACTATCCCGTGTCTTGCCTAATGCTCTAGTATTTGCTAGATATAGGGTAGTTTGGTATATATAAGAGGGGACAACGTGACGCGTGATGAAGGTGATGCGTGTGAGTAGATAGTGAGTAATTGAACTGCAGTCAGAAGTATTATTGACGTTCGTTGTTATATCGTTTGTTTAGCGCGATTATTGAAGTTGAGTGTATACGGTAA